TGGTCATTTGTCCCTATCCGCTAGGTCCTAAGATGCGCTAAATACCTAGAACCACTTGCAGCCAGGTCCTGTCCTTGCTGTGAACAGCCTTCCTGACAAGAGTGCTGACACGTGTGGTCTGAGTGGGAATCTTTTGGGGGTGACTCCTTCACCTGGGTGAACAAACTCTTCTGTTGGGAAGCCCCTTCACTGACCCATTTCACCCTGTGGATTGTTCTTTCCCCTGGTACAGTGGATGGTAAATGTTTCTTTCCTTTTTATGTCTTACCGTGTTCAGCTGGATTGACTTCATGTAGGAGATTTGAACAAATCTACCTGTTCAAGGGTGTTGCTGGTCAGACTGTGGTCCTTGGATCAGCAGCATTGATCTCACTTGGAACTCTTTAGAAACTGAATCAAAATCTCAGGCCCACTCTAGACCCACTGAATCAGAATAGGCACATACTGGTTAATTTCATGTGCAACCTGACTGGGCCATAGGGCCCAGATGTTTGGTCAAACATTATTGTAGGTGTTTCTGTGAAGGTATTTTTGAATGAGATGAATGTTTAAATTGGTAGAGTTTGGATGCAGCAGATGACCCTCTACTGTGGGTGGGCCTCATTCAGTCAGTTAAAAGCCTGAATAGAACAAAGTCTGACCTTCCTGGACAAGAAGGAATTCTGCCATCTGATAGCCTTCAGACTCGAAGGACAACATGAGATCTTCTCCTGGGTCTCCAGTCTGCCAGCCCACTCTGCAGATTTTAGACTTGGCAAGACTCCACAAATGTGTAAATCAATTCCTTAAAATGATTCTCTCTCTCTGTATATACATTCCTGTTGGTTCTGTTTCTCTGGAGACCCTGACTAATATATTTTAACAAGACCCCCCAGGTGATTTGTATGCATCCTTAAGTTGGAGCAGTTCTACCCTAAACTCTTCCAGTAGGATGATTTTGATGGGTGCTGCTTTTAGCTGATTGTACTTTTATGTGTTAACATCTGTAACAGGACACATCAGGTTGTATATCAAGATAATTATTTTACTACTACACAGTAGCCATCTCTTACGTGAATGTCAGTTTCTCTGAATTATTGACTATTATTGACTATGCTCATTCTATTTGAGTCTGAAAATATTTTAGACTTACTTTTCTATTTCGACTAGAATAAAAGTTAGTATACTTTCCTTCCTTGTCTTATCTTTGGTTTTCTCATATAAATGGGATCTCTTTCTGCTCCAACCATCTACTTTATGGTATTTCAGAGACATAGTTAGTAATGGACTCAAGTGGGAAATATTCACACAAAGATCAGGTCATCTGCCAACAGTGTATGTGTGTCTGTTTCATACAGATAGAATCTGGGGTTCAAATGTTTTAGTCAGGGCGCCTGGGTGGCTCAGTGGGTTGGGCCGCTGCCTTCGGCTCAGGTCATGATCTCAGGGTCCTGGGATCGAGTCCCGCATCGGGCTCTCTGCTCAGCGGGAAGCCTGCTTCCCTCTCTCTCTCTCTGCCTGCCTCTCCGTCTACTTGTGATCTCTCTCTGTCAAATAAATAAATAAAATCTTTAAAAAAAAATGTTTTAGACTACATTATAAGATGCTTTCTAGTCTTAGAGTATATGATTTTCATGTTTCCTTTATGATAATGTTGTTTGCTTTATTTCAATGGTCAGTACACCATAAAGGAATGCATGGTGTTCTGTTTGAATTTGTCCTCTAAATTGCAATGAAAAGAACTTTGTACCATGAGCTTATCATGTGCATGAGTATGGTATATTTTCTATACCCTACACTTTTTTTTTCTGTTTTTGAAATTTTAACTATGAAATTAATAACATTACAGATATACATCAAATATAGGCAAAATTTCTTTTTATGGGCCATAAAGTGATAGTTTTCCTATGTTAATTTAAAATAAATCTAACATAATTTTTAGTAGTGACCTTTACTCACTCTCAATTTACTCACATGTTCTGCCTGTACTCAAATTTAACAGTTTGCATATAAACATTGTAGTGTTCATTTCTTTATTACATTTAATTGGTCTCAATTTGTCAGTCATACCCTACACTTTAATAAGCTTGATTTGAGCTAGTTTCTTCTGTCTGGCAAAATTTCACAGTGATATCCTATACCTCAAAGTGCTACATAAGTGAGTAGGGGCTCCATGCAAGCACATTTTCTAGCAGGCTCTAGCAGATATCCCTTCAAAGGTCAGACTCTTTTAAGTTTGGACTCTCTTAAAAATGGTTTTCATATACTTTTTAAATATGTATATTTAATATGCAAAAGAAGACCCTTGGCTCTTCTATTTTGGTGCTTCTAATTTGTGTATTTGAAACCTGCTAGATAACTTTGCTACAATATATTTCATTTAAGAGTTGCTTTCAGAAGGCAAGTAAGAAGTCAAGCAGGTTTACTCTTATGGATAAATCTTCAAGCAGCCAAAAGGCAAATGGTTCATTTTGCCCCTTCAGCTTCTCAATTTATGCCTTTGGATTATTTCATTGTTCATTGATTATCTGCTATGTGGTAGGAACATGCAAAGTTTAAGTGAGCATTCTTAATGTTCCCAGAATCTATTCTGGGAATAGATAAATAAAATACAAAACAAAGCAGAGACTGTATAAGGTGGTTGTAAACACCAGCCTGTGGGCTTGGAAGAAGAAGAATCTTTGTGATTTGATCGAACTTAATGGAAGATATAAGTTTGAATGGGAGAATAAGATGGGAAGGGCCGTTTAGGTATAGAGAGACCATGTGGATGTCCCAGGCGGAAGCAACAATGTGAGCATCTATAGATTCAACACAAATTAAATCCTCAAGGGAGAAAAGACAGTCTCTTCAATAAGTGGTGCTGGGGTAATTGGATTTTCATATGTAAAAAAATGAAACTGGACTCCTCTTTTTACACCGCTTACAAAAATTAATTTGAAATAGATTAAAGACTAAAACATAAGACTCAAAGCCATGGAACTCCTGGAAGAAAACATAGGGACAAAGCTCCTTGACATGGGTTTTGATGATGATTTTTTGGATGTGACATCTAAAGCAAGAGCAACAAAATAAAAAGGGAGACTATATCCAACTAAAAAGCTTCTGCCCAGCAAAAGAAACCACCAAATAAAGTGCAAAGAGAACCTTTGGAATGGGAAAAATATTTGCAAACCATACAACTGATAGGGGGCTAATATGTAATCTATATAAAGAACTCATATAGCTCAATGGCAAAAAAAAAAAAAAAAAATAACCCGGTTTAAAAATGGGCAAAATACATGAATAGACGTTTATCCAAAGAAGATACATGAAAAACCAACAGGTACATGCAAAGATGCCCAACATCACTGGTCATTAGAGAAATGCAAATTAAAGCCATAAGGTCCTATCATGTCACACCTGGTTTGGATAGTCATCATCAAAAAGGTAAGAGATAACAAAAGCTGGCATTGATAGAAAAGGGAACCCTCTTGGTGGGACTCTAAACTGGTGCAGGCACTATGGGAACAGGTATGGAGTTTCCTCAAAAAATTAAATAGAACTACCCTATGATTCAGCAGTTCAACTTTTGGGACTATATCCAAAGGAAATAAAAACACTAACATAAAAGGATATCTCCACCACCATGTTCATAGCAGCAGTGTTTACAACCACCAAGACATGGAAATAGCCCAAGTGTCCACTGATGGATGAAGAGGTTGTGGTATATACATAAAGTGGAATATTACTCAGCCATAGAAAATGAAGGAATCCTACTGTTTGTGACATGGATAGACCTTGAAGGCATGCTAAGTAAATAAGAAAAGAAAGACCTGTTATATGATCTCACACACATGGAATCTAAAGAAACAAAACAAATCTAAACTCATAGAAAAAGATAAGACTTGTGATTACCAGAATTTGGGGTGGGGGGAGGAATTAGAGAAGGTGGTGCAAAGGTATAACCTCCAGCTGTAAGATAAATGCATATAAGGAGCGTAATATACAACAGGATGCACTAGCTACCACTGCTGTATTGTATTTATGAAAGTTCATTTTTTCCCCTTTTTTCTTGTACCCATATGAGAAGATGGGTGTTCATGGAACCTGCTGTGGTAACCATTTCACTATGTATGTAAATGAGAACATCCTCTGTATGTCTGAAGTGATGCAGTGATGTATGTCAATTATTTCTCAATAAAACTGGAAAAAAATTCCAAATAGGCATGAGCAAAGGTGGCCAAATGAAGGATATGATGAGAATGGAGTTTATTCCACTGTGGTTGAACAAAAAAACACCCATGGTACGTATCTAGAGGGACTCATTGACCTGTTATGCACATGCCTGAGACCCAGAACTTCCTTTATGGACTTGACTTGCTACCTCAAATCAGTGGCTTTATATTAAGAATCGTCTCATGTCACCAACCCTGGAATAATTCTACTAGCTTGTGTGAATCGCTCAATTGGTGTTTCTATCTCACTCTTTATTTCAGTGTTCTTGTTTTTTGTGGTATTTGGGATCTTTGAAACATATCTTCCTTTAGCAAATATCCTTTTTTTTAAAAAATTATTTATTTAGAGAGAGAAAGGGCGGGAACAGGGAGAGAGAGGATCTCAAGCAGACTCCCTGCTGATCATAGAGCCCCATGCAGAGCTCTATTTCACGACCCATGAGATTATGACCTGAGCCAAAACCAAGAGTTGGATGCTCAACCAACCGAGCCACCCAGGTGTCCTGGGGGAATACTCTTGATGTGTTTACTGTAGCTCCTAGAAGGCAGGTAAATCTCTCTGCTTACACTGTGTGAGTAGTAAATACATCTAAGTCAGAGAACAAAGATCACATTAGAAGATTTTCTTGTCAGGTGCGTCCTTTTACAAAATCTTTATGGGATAGGGCAAGCACAACAATTTTCTTTTCCTAAATTCTGAGGTATTTTATTTTTAAAACCACTTGTAAAGTTCTCACAACTTTCCGTTTTCTCTGTAGATTTTGCATCTGTGGCTGACAGTATCATTTTTCTTTGTGCTTCTAGTACGGCCAAGTACAGCGTGTTGACGTTTCTACCTCGATTCTTGTATGAGCAGATTAGAAGAGCTGCTAATGCCTTCTTCCTCTTCATTGCCTTATTACAGGTAATGCTTTTTAAAAAGTGATTTAAAATTCATAATGTTAGTTACATGCAAAATGGGATTTTGCTAAAAGGTCACTTAACTGAAAGTGTCGTCATACTTGAATGTAATTTACCCTCTCATCCGGTCATCGTTTTCATGCACAGACGTGATCCCTGCATGAAGGCAGACTTCTTTAGATGTTGCCATAAGGATAATGGCAGTTGCTAAAGAGGCACTGAAAAGTGTCCCAAAAGCCATACTTTTGACCCCTTTCAGTCCTAAACAACATAGCAATGTTAGATAAGATTTTTAAAATATGTAAAACACATAGCTAGTTTTTAAAAGAAGGTAATCCCTTTCGTATAACAGAAATGGAACAGAACTTCAAAAGAGCGAGTGGTGAGTGTCATATTTTCTTTTTTGTATAGAGGGTTTTGACTTCAAAATTTTAATTTGTCAACTTCCTCTTTTGGTCTCTTGTCTTACAGCAAATTCCAGACGTATCTCCAACAGGAAGATATACCACCCTGGTGCCATTGATCATTATTTTAACAATTGCAGGCATCAAAGAGATTGTAGAAGATTTTGTAAGTCTTTGCTTTCATAGAATTAATACCTTCTATTGGATATAACTTGTAATTTATTTGTTGATCTGTTTTTCTTTGTCAAAGATAGGAAATTAATCACTAACTTAACCAGTCTCTCAAGGCTCATGATGGTATTTTTGGGGAAGGAACGCATACACACAGTGTCTTAAATATCTATACAGGGACACAGAAGTAGTTCAAACTGTGTTTTCTAATGTTAACTCTGTAAACCCTCTTTGATTTTTATCACTGATGTTCCTATCCATCTTTAGAGCTTGCTAATTCGGGTATCAAAAGGATGGTATTGCTGCCTAGTATAGCAGTATTGGGCTGGCTGTGCCTGAGGTAATTTTATGAATCTTCTCTCTCCTCAGACTTATCTTGGTGTATCTCCAGGTTCAAAGGCTACAGCCATATTCATGCTTTCTCCCCTTTTCTCCATCTGTGGTCTTGCCTCCAGGGTCTTTCTCTTCCTCTTTACCCCTCCCTCCCTCCCTCCTCTACCTCTGTGTCTCCTTTTCACACTCTCGCACATACACTCATACACATTATGTACATTTTTCTGGGAATAGATAAACAAATAAATGGAATACAAATCAGAGGTACTTTGCTCACAAAGTTCTTTATCAGTAGAATGAATTCAGTTGCTGAATTTATCATACTGAATACTTCTTTTAGTCTGATCTAAAAGAAACGAGGTGTGAGAAGTCTCATACTTCAGAGTGCTTATTCCTTGTTGGAGCCAAAATGTCATAGCTGACACCAGAGGAGACTGCATCCACGTTTGGGACATTTGTCTACTGAATTTAGGGAGTGAGGCTGGGTCACAAACTTCTGAGCTGAGTTTCACAGGGTTCGCATTGCTACTGGTCTCTTTCCTGGAACCCTGTTTCTCTCCTGATCTATTGTTGCTGTTTCACTGATGCATTTGGAACTTTTGAATCTAAAACTTCCTTTTCTTTCTGGTAACAGAAGCGGCATAAGGCAGACAATGCAGTGAACAAAAAGAAAACAATAGGTAAGACACCAGGCTGAGTTCCTTTTCCTGCTAGAAAGCTTCAGACCCACATTTAAGGCATTTAAAATAAGTAGCTAATGGTATTGAGATAAGTGGAGGGAAATGATCTATGAAATATTTTAAAGAAATAGCAAAATTACAAACCAGTCCAACAAAATATGAGTCCTGGCTCTAAGATTTGAAAGGAATTTGTCTGTTTTAGAAATTTAGAAAAGGTGGTAATTTTCAGGAGCTTAGACATACTTTAGGTCTGTAAAAAGTCCAAGCATTCACATCCTTGGTTTATAATTGCTCCCTACTGCTCTATTTTTTGTTGTATTGATTTTTAGAACATTAGGTCTGTATTGTGTATGTGTGTATGTGTGTGTTTAATCTCATAATAACAGGGTGATATTTTTCTCCTTGGATAAATATGGCTAGTTTTAACTTACATGCATGTATCTCTATATGTGTGTTTATTAATATATATATGGTATGTGGGTTGGGGCTCCATTTTGAGGAGTGATGTGGTATGCCTTTATGTCTAAAGATATGGTATGTTGGAATTAAGTGGAATTTTGAAAGGAACCTCTTAGATTTTATAAAGCTCATTTTATTTCAATTATCACCAATATTAACTGGCACATTGTTTTTTTCCTTTTCAGTGTTAAGAAATGGTATGTGGCATACCATTATGTGGAAAGAGGTAAAAACTATAGGAAACAAATTGAGGGTTGCTGGAGGGGCAGGGGTGGGGGATGGGTAATTGGGTGATGGGCATTAAGGAGGACATGTGCTGTGATGAGCACTGGGTGTGATATACAACTGATAAATTATTGAACACTACATCTGAAACTAATGATGTACTATATTTTGGCTAATTGAATTTAAATAAAACATTTTAAAAAATCCTAATTTTAAAGATCTGCCAGAAAGTACTGGTTTGGGGACTTATAATTAATTGCTAGTATTGCTTGCAGTAGATAAAATTTGGCTTAAGACATCACTCATCTCTCATGTAAGTTTTATGTCGTGGAGTTTCCCATGAGGTTTACTTAGAACTGCTGCCCAATGACTCGGTTCCCTGCTTTTTCTGGAAAATGCTCACTGTGTCTGTTCATAGTTGTGAAATTTGTTGCTCCTGATGGATACTTCTGAAATATCAAAGCATTCTCTAGTTTCCAACTCCAATCCAAGAAACCTTTTCCCTGTCCTTCTCTTCTCAACTAAATCCAGTTTTGTTTTGTTTGTTTTTTAAGATTTTTCTAACTTTGGAGAATCTCATTTCTAATGTTTTTGGTGGGAAGAGTTTTGGATTTAAGATTTTACAGTGAAATGTAAACAGAGGTGGAATGGGGGTTGGAAGCCAGCCTGTTTCTATTCTGAACTTGGTTATCATGATGAGTAGTGACTGCTCTTAACTTGACGGTAGTGAGAAGGGTTTGTCTCCACGTTACTGGAAACATGAGATTGGGAGGGCTTGGGGGTGGTGAGGGTTTTTGGTTGTTTATAGTGATGAATAGAAAATGTAGAAGAAATATGCTGTGCCATCTGGGTGTCTTGCATCTGATAAAGTTAGCTTTTTAAGTGAGCCTCTGTTTTACCTGGAACTTCTTAATGGTCACGAGGTGGTTTTTGCGGGGGATGACTCTCATGACCTCAGGATTTGAGGCTCATTACTATGATTTCAAGAGAAAACTGCTTTTTAGAAGATCCACTTAACCACAGTTTCTCCTGCTAACCATTTAATAAGCAGCATTTTTATGCTTCTCTGATCTTTTTTACTCCACAAAATCCCTGTGATACAGTAACCGCAGCCCTCAGTTTAGTTTGTGTTTTGTTTACTTTATAATAAGAGAACGATGAAATCTCTTTATATTGTTTCGTGATAACACCTCAACCTTTGTAGTAATCTAGGAGTCCTGTAATGTCAGTACTAATCGACCTCTCTCTTATTGGAAGTCTGTGGTTCTTGGCCTAGTGGTTGGAAATTCTTGACCTCATAGAGGTTAGAAATGCTCCGAGTGTTATGGGGGTTCAGGGATTCCCACTGCACTTAGGAATGGCCTCTGTTTCTCCAAGTGCTTCCTGACACTACCCCCCTCCCCACCCCCCAGAAAGGCGCGAACTGTAACGGGAGTGAAGAATCATTTGGATTCGGGATGTTTGCACTACTTGAAACAGTAGAGAATGGAGTGATGATCTCTGAATTCTGGATCCAGGAGTTGATGGCCTCACAGACCCCTAAAGCTTGTTACCATTTCCTACACACATTCAAAGTTAAAAAAATCCCAAACCAAATACCTGTTATATGCTTTGCCACAAATGTTTTTATTTCAATTAAAATGCTTTTTGTTTGTCTTGGTGGAGCTCTTAGTATGTCCCCAAGGTGGTTTTAGGCACTGGTGATGCAAGTAAGAGTAAAGCATGGCCCCTGCCATTAGGGAGCAGCCCACCATGGTTCTCAGCCTTCAGTGGGCATCCAAGTCGCTTGACTGGCAGGTCTAACACTGATTGCTGTGCTGGCCGTACTCAGAATTTCTGATTGGGGTGTTCCACTGGCCCCGGAATTTGCATTTGTAACAAGTTCCCAGGTGAGGCTGACACTACTGTCCCCCAAACCACTGGTGTCGTGGCAGTGGCAGGTAGCTGGGGGAATGCAGTGTGGGTGCTGAGCTTTGAGTGGGGCATGCTTCTGGAACATCTAAGAGGGTGGGCAAGTCTAGACCCATCAGTTCAGATGAGCAAAGTCTTCTCTCTTGTGATATTCTGATGTTCTTCTGAAGGATGAATGAGAGATAACTATTTTAGGAGGAAAATTCTGTTCAAGACAGAGGTAACCGGGTGAAAGTCTGAGGAAAGCCAGGCACCTCTGCAGAGCGGCTCAGAACAGGGATGAGAATGTGGGAGAAGACAGGCAATAAGAAGTACCAAGCCCCAGAGCTGTCAGCCAAGGTGGACGTGACTATAAGTTTTCCAAAGCAATACAGCGCTCATCGGAAATGCTGAGCTTGCGTTGGCCATCCCCTGGGCTGTAGCAGAATAGAAGGCTGGGAGACAGCTCTTCAGGGCAACTTGATAGCTTTGGTTGACTTTGAGAAGGCCTTTGAGCTTGTTCTTCAAAATTAAGAAGCTTAAGAAGTCCTTTGAGGCTAGGGTGGATTCAGGCACCTAGAGGGGCTCTTTCTCACCTTAAGAATTCTCATTTGGGAAACTTCACACAGTCAAGGGACAACCATGCATAAGAACACAAAATAGAAAACGATTTTCAAACACATTTCCAACCAAGAAGTTTTTCATGTGCATGGAATTTCTTAGTACTCTGTTACTGGGATATGAATATTTCTTTTTTTTTTTTTAAGATTTTATTTATTTATTTGACAGAGATCACAAGTAGGCAGAGAGGCAGGCAGAGAGAGAGAGGAGGAAGCAGGCTCCCCGCGGAGCAGAGAGCCTGATGTGGGGCTCGATCCCAGAACCCTGGGATCATGACCTGAGCTGAAGGCAGAGGCTTTAACCCACTGAAACACCCAGGCGCCCCTGGGATATGAATATTTCTTTAGTTAACTAACTAAGATGGGAGAAAGCCATAATTTCCCTTGTCCTTCCACTGAATTAAGAGAAAAATTCACTGCCTTTTGTTTTTTTTTTTGAAAACACGACCGATTTTCCTTTCTAGTTTTTAACTAATAGCTTCTTCTGATTTTTTCCATGTAATTAAACTATTCATGTACAATACTTTTTACATTTAGAAACATTTTCAATTTTCATAAGCATTCCTTGCTGTTGTACTGTTGGTTGTTAAAATAGTTCTGTGGCACCTATTCTTTAATATTGTCTTTATTGTGAAATATGGAATATACTTAAAGGCCTATGACTTTTTTGCCTTTAAATTGATACTAGCTTCAAATTTATAGTGGTTCTGGAATTTAACTTTTAACCCCCCTCTGTACATTGAGCCTGGTTCCTTACTTCCCCACATGCTTCGTAGTGGTTCTATTCAAAACACTAGGACATGTTTTTAGAAAACTCTCCTTTTTCCTAATGAAGAGTTAACATAGGCACCTGCCAGTGCCATTCTCTTAGCTTGCAAGATCCAGGAGTCTTTCATGAATATTAGTTTCATAAGTATTTCAGAAGTATTCAGTTTGAAATTCTTGATTTCTAGGAGAATAGTAACATGCATTAGAATAAGAAGTAAGGCATAGAGCCCATTTTGAGTTTTGAACTTACGTGTGCTGAGAACAGCCTTTGTTCTTATGCTGTCTGAGAATCGTGACCTGTCTGACTTTCACACTCATAATGTCCATTGATTGTACTCCTGCTGATAGAGACTAGCACTTAGCATAATGCCTATTTCAGGCAGGTGCTTGCATATACTTCCTTAATCATTACATCAGCCCTACAAGGTGAGTGTTAATCTTTCTCCATTTTACAAGTAAGGACCCTCCCTAGAGCTCACAGAGGTGAAGAACTTCCCCAGATCCCAGGCTAGTGTGTCTGGGAAGCTCGGATCTGAACCTCAGCCTTCCTGGCTTGAAAGCCCATATTCTCCTAGCTGGGTGCTTCTGTGGCGTCATATGAAGGATTTATAAGCCTGTGGCCGTGGTGCCAGATTAAGGCCTTTTACCTTAGCTTGGGGTCTTATGTCTGGTGAGTCTGTTTTCCTACGTGGTCTCTGATTTTGGCTGTGACTCTTTTTCTTGTTGAAGTTCTTGAGGCTATACAAATCTTTGTTTTAAGTGGTATGTTTCCAGGGGACCTTTAGATGCACTGTTTGCAGTGAATTCAGTATTGCCTTGTAATCAGACCACTGGCCAGTTACTCGGTTTTGAATCTTGGGTCTAACAATCACTGACTGTGTGACTTGATCCAGTTATTTCTCTTTGAGCCTCAGTTTCCCCATTTGTAAAATGGAGAAAATTTATGTGTGTTAACTCATTGATTCTTGTAATAACCCCATGAAATATGTGCTCTCAACCTCATTTTATATATATGGATGAGAAGACTGATGCACAAAGAGTTTCCATAATTTGCTCCGGGTTACTCAGGGCTAGTAAGGAGTCCAGCCCAGGGATTTGAGCCCCGCATTCAGGCTGGCTCTGGAGCTGTGCACTTAACCATGCTCCCCTACTGTATACAGCTGGAGGATCGTCCCAGAGTTCAAGAGTGCTATTGACAAGTGGATGGAATAATTGTAAGAAAATGAGATCTTGATAGTTGTTCTGACTCTTCTCTTCTCTTACTGTCCTTTTCTGTTTTTGTTTTTTTTTTTTCATTCATCGTCACTGCTGAAAGGCAATATTACCATTTGTATTGAAAAATTTTTGTTCTGTTCTTTTCAAGGAAAATAATTTGGGTTCTGTCTTAAGCTTTCTGGCATAATTAATTATATAGTAATTTTTCCTTCAAATATTTAACCAACTTAAAGACTGTTTGTGCTTTCCTGTCTTTCATGCTTCTCTGTCCTTGTCCCTGGTTTTCTAGGTGGCGGTGGGAGACATTGTGAAGGTCGTCAATGGGCAGTACCTCCCAGCAGACACGGCCCTGCTGTCCTCCAGGTCAGGTGTGCAAGCGGGCACATCGTTTCAAATAAACGTGAACAATAAAACATTAAGTGGTGACTACAGGAATCACAAGCCAGCCTTTCCCTTCCACCCCTGGAGGCAATAGCCTTTTCTCTTTGGCCTCTTCTTCAGTTACTTGTTATTTTCCTTCTTTTGTTCCTACCTTAATCCTAAATTTCCTTTCTCCCATTCATCCCCTTGTACTTCTGTAGAAGTCTTTCAGATGTATCGATTCATTTTACTTTCATAGCCATTCTGGGCTATTCCACATTCATAGGAGGCGCTCCAGAGCAGTGGAGTGATTCCGTCAGTATCACGCAGACTATAAGGCTTGAGAACCAGTCTCCTGTGGGTCTAGCCAGGAGTCTTTCCCTGGGGCCAGGGCCTCCTTTACGAGCCGCTCAGAGATCCAGGCCATGTTCACAGCAGAGACATGACCTGTGGTTGGTGTTGCCCCTTATCCATCCACGCTGTGTCCCCTTTCTGACCAAGTGCATGGCCATGCTCTCCAGGCAGTTCCATGCTGGCAGTGTATCACTAATCACTAACTGACATGAATAATGGACGATGAAGTCCTTGACTTTTCCTTGGCTTGATACATGAAAGTATACATCAAAGATGGAGTGCTACAATTAGGATATGAATAAATTCTTTTCTTGCGTTTCAAGTTTAATTCTATGATAAGACTCAAACTTCCTATGTTATTGTGCTGCAGGGAATCCTAGATGCTCGCGTTGTTGGCATTTTCTTTGAATGCAGACAGTGTTTATTTTATTGGATTTGATCATACATTGGATTCTAAGCATTAGCATTGAATTTTCTGCTCAAGATAAAAGGTTTAAAAATGGGATCCCGGGCCCATAGAGAAGGAAGAGCACCATATGCATAGGGCAGGACTCGTGTTTGTCCCTATTGATTGGTAACAAGAGAAATAGTGAAATGTGGATCACTTGACGGTTTGGGGTATGCGTTTTCACTGTAACCCTCGGAAAACATGGTTTTAATATGAGATGGTTTGTTTGAGCTGACATGTTTCTAGGGTGCTCATTACTGTTTGAGTCTGTACATTCTGCTCATTTATAACTGAGTACATTATCCCATTTAATCTTTCCCCAAACCCTTGGTATCCCTGCTTCTTTATGCATGAGAAATCAGAAACGGATGAAACAACTTCCAAGTCCACACAGCCCAGAAGGGGAGCAATAGGAGATTTTAACTTAGCCAGTGGGTCGCAGACTCCATTCTTTTGACCCACTAATTGTGAATAGAAATAGGAACACAGTATCTGCCAGGCTTATTGTATTTTCTTTTTAAGATTTTACTTATTTATTTGAGGGAGAAAGAGAAAGCATAAGCAGGAGGAGGGGCAGAGGGAGAGGGAGAAGCAGGTTCCCTGCTGACCAGGGATCCTGACATAAGACTCCATCCCAGGACTCTGGAATCATGACCTGACCTGAAGGCAGACACTTAACCCACTGGGCCTCCCAGCCGCCCCTGCCATGCTTATTGTTATTCTTTAAGTGTTCTGTCCTTAAAACTGGGTGTTTTGATTAAAAAGTTACCTGTTGACATAGCAAAAGGTACAGGGAAGGAAAGGCTTGCCAAGCCTGTGTCTTGATTGCTGAATTCTGGTTGTGATGCTCTTCCACAGTTGTGTTTGTACTGGCTGTGTCTAGGGTGGGTCTTTTGGTCAGGAGCAGGCCGAGTCTCAGACTTGAGTCATCCAAGCACAGTGGTGGGGTCTTAGCTGGAACATGTTGTGTTTCCCTTAACCCACCAGTCCTCTTCTCATTCTTCTTCAGTTATCTCTGCTACTTAAGGTAAATCATCCATTATGTGGGGCCCATAAGGGTGGATCATTGGGCAAACAACTTTGTGTTGGTGTTGAGCCTCAAGGCGGAGTGTCTTTCTGGACAATTACTATGAGAGTGGTTGAAGGGCCAGTCAGCAGACACCGTTTCCATGGTACAGACTTTATGAGCTGTGAATTTGTGGAGGGGATCTCACTAAACTTTGGCTTTTTAAATTTCTCTCTCTGTAGTGAACCTCAGGCAATGTGTTACGTCGAAACAGCTAATCTAGATGGGGAGACAAACCTTAAAATACGTCAGGTAAAGTAATCTTTTATGACCTGTGTTGTTAAGGATACCCAAATTGCAAATTTGGTCCACTGTACTAGTCAGTATATTTTCTAGAGAAAAATGCCCTGCTCGAAAGGGTTCTGCCTTAACCCTAATGGAACCCATGGGAAGAACATGGTTTTTTATAATGAAGGGAGGCCCTTGAGAGAGATAGCAGCATTAGAAAAAGTGAGCTTCATCCAAGTATGGGTCATGAAAGGTATCTTGCCTTAATTTATGTCTGAGCTCTATGTCTGTTAGTGTAGGTGGAAAGAGATCCTGTCAGCTGAGGTTGAGCTGTGTGGTGGAAAGGGCGTCATCTCTATGGAGAGACAAAATAGACAAGCTCTGGGTACCTTACTTTACATAGTAGTTTTAACTGAGACTTTAATTCTAGAAAGTAATATATTAGATGCAAAACTTTTATGCCTTAAAGCTGTTTTTACATATATTTTATTTTAAGATTTTATTTATTTATTAGAGAGAGATCACAAGTAGACAGAGAGGCAGGCAGGACGTAGGGGAAGCAGGCTCCCCACTGAGCAGAGAACCCGATATGGGACTTGCTTCCCAGGACCCTGAGATCATGACCTGAGATGAAGGCAGAGGCTTAACCCACTGAGCTACCCAGGCACCCCCTTACCATATATTTTAATTCTAGAATGGAAAATGGTCTTTACTGTAACACAAATTTTAAGCATTTGATGCTCAAATTTTCTGTTGAATGAAATTGAATTTGATTAATTCTGTCTACCTGTCTTTCTTTTCTACCATAGATGTTTGATTTTGGTGGGGTTTTTGTTTTGTCTTTTGCTTTTAAAGAAGAGTTGCTGAGTACTAGATGTAATACTACTATAACATTATATTAAAAGAATGCTTTATTCTGTTTTTATGACTTGTATTAAAGGAGAGTTAATGAAGTGTTGTCTGCAAGGGGCTTGAGTATGTGGTTTCTTGAACATGGATTTTCCTAGCAAGATGGGAGAATCTTTTTTTTTTTTTTTTTTTAAGAATGACATATTTATTTATTTATTTGACAGACAGATCACAAGTAGTCAGAGAGGCAGGTAGAGAGAGAGAGAGAGGAGGAAGCAGGCTCCCTGCTGAGCAGAGAAGCCCCATGCGGGGCTCCATCCCAGGACCCTGAGACCATGACCTGAGCTGGAGGCAGAGGCTTTAACCCACTGAGCCACCCAGGCTCCCCACGATGGGAGAATCTTAACTTTGCACTTCACTCTATTCTTTGGAAACTTTTGCATTAGGTTGCTATGACACAGTCTGCCTGGAAGTCTATCTTGAAGGGCTGGTAGCTTGATTCATTAGCCTCCCCACCACTCTGTTTTAGAAGATCCATTATTTCCTTTGGATTAACAATGGGGATGCTGAATGTTGTCCCCAAACCCGGAAGATTGTATTCAGTTTCCTCTTTTGGTTTAACATTTTAGGGTCTGAGTCACACTGCCGACATGCAAACAAGGGAAGTATTGATGAAATTATCTGGAACTATAGAATGTGAGGGACCCAACCGCCATCTCTATGACTTCACTGGAAACTTGCACATAGATGGAAAAAGGTATCACTTTTGCTTTTCTTAGTTTTTATTTTATTTTTTTGTTCTTAATTGGGACTAAGAATTACTGCAATTGGTAAAATATTAGCTTGTTTTTTTGGCTTTAAAATACTTTAAAACTGTGAGATTTCTTACATTTAGTTTAGATATGAGAGACTGAGATTTTCCTGAAGCACAATTTCAGTCATATAAACCTTCCTTCCCTTAAATTTAAGGAAAGAACTTATTTTTGTCAAGAAAACAGCCCCAGGGTCTGAAATGAGATTAAAGGCACTGGCTGTTTTTCTGTGTGTCTTACCTACCAGGAAGTAGAGGTGGTTTGGGCTGCATAAAATTGTCCAGAAAAGCATAAGAGAAGCATATCAGGTGTAGGAGATCTAATCTATTTATTAGAGAAACATCTTTTTTTTTTTTTTTTTACTAACATTCTTCTAAGTAGCATTTGTTTTTATAAAGTTGAATGGAAGAAACAGTAATTACTCTTCCTTTGGAATATTCACTGCCCTGTTGTCTATATTCCATTGTCTTTGTCCTCTTGGCATTTGTTTGAGTGTTGGAGAGTCATTTTTGTCATTCTGTTGGGGTGCAGTTCTCCCTTCTACCCGTCTTTAATCTGCATGCTCCTTATGGATGCTTCCCATCTTTGTATTTTGAACAGACACAAAGGGCAGGACCTAACCGTGGGAATCAACCCAAAATAACTATGACAGCTGCAACTGCTTTCTTGGTTTTCCTTTAGCATGCAGAGCCATTCAGTAGGCTCACCATTTTGAATTTCTACATTACCACTCAGCCTTTTATTTAACCATTAAGTCATCCTTGACAAATTTTGATATTCTAGATTTAGAGTCTATAAAATAAACTGGGTTTCCTCATGAATAAGCTTCTGGTTATTTTAGCAATTTTCTTTTTGGGTGTGGAGTTTTATACCCGGGTTTTAAGAGAACTACAATTCCCTCTAACATTTTATAAGAAAAATTATATATAAATATATATACACACCCCCACATACATATACATACATATGCAGGTATGTGTATATATATATATATTTTTTTCTCTTGTAGTGATGAATGGATAGGATGAAACATTTTTGTGGGTCTTTTTCTTTTCTTTCTTTCTTTCTTTTTTTTTGTAGATGAAGGGAGTGGTAACCTTTATTGCCCCTCTGTCTCAGTGAAATAGTTCAAATCTGACTAAAAGAAACTACTGAATTAATTAATTAATTGTGGGTTTATGTTTAAGGGGGAAAGCTCATGCTCATTTGTCAAACTATCATTAAATATAAATGTTGTTTCTTATTTTTAGCCCTGTTTCCCTTGGGCCTGACCAGATCTTATTAAGAGGTACACAGCTTAGAAATACTCAGTGGGTCTTTGGCATAGTTGTTTATACTGGACACGACACCAAACTCATGCAGGTAAAACATTTCTATGCTGAAAAACAATGCTGATTTCAGTCTTTGCTTTTTCTGTCCATTTTTACGAAGTAGAGAGTGCAAATGCAGATGTTGCATTTAGGGGGCTCAAATATGTCTGTGAACCTAAATTTAGAAAGGAAGTACATTTTATTTCTTGTTCCTTGGGTACTTTTTCTGGGATTTCCATTATTCTATCAGATATTTGTGACTTCGTACTTGAAATACCAATGGTCTTTGTTTTTACCGGATTTAGGGGGACAGTCAATTCTAACTTATTTTATCTTCTGGACTTAAGCAGAGATTCATTCTAACTTCCTTATATCTCTACTTCTCTTCCTCACCCCACAAATTAGGATTTAATAGTAAATTGTCCTTTTAATTGAATCCTTGACAATTTAAAATCAGTTATTTTTGTACTAATATTTATTCTTCATACACCAAAAAATTAAGTTAAAATGATTTTGCTCTTCCTCCCTGTTAATGATTTTCAAAATATTTGTGAATTTACAGCTGCCCACATTTGTATTATGATGTATTTGGCCAGACAGCTTTTGAAATTCTGTATAAATCAGTGTCCCAATGTGTCATTTCTTCTATTTCTTTGATATCTTTTGGATCTTATTTTGCTAATGGTTGCTGTTCATGAGAATCAGTTTTTCAGCTTGTCTGCTCTTTTGTATCACTTCCAAAGCATGTGTTTGACTGTATTTCGTAGTTCAAAACTATTTAGTGACCACCATGCACCAAGTCTTGAAGTAGGCCGTGTGGACACAATAGTGAAATGCCAAGCTCACCCTCTAGAAGCTGCACAGACTAAGGAGTAAGATGGAATTACCGGGTAGAATGAGAGTAGCCGCAGTTTGTGTCATTACAAAGGGCCTTGGGTGTCTACAGAAAGGCCAGGCAACCCAGGATTAGAGCCATTATTTGACTAGATACAAGAAACCCATTTTAGTTGGGGAGAGTTGGGGGGCGGGGATCTTGTGTTGGTCCACTGTTTGAGGTCAAGTGATGGAGGAGGAGAGCGTTAAATGTTGATTAGAACAGATGAGGTGATAGATCCCATGTCTACCCCAGCTGGGAGATACAATGGAGATGGGGTGGCAGGGAGTGGGGGAGACAATGAACTAAGAAGGCTTCAGAGGCTCAACAGGCTGATCAGTGTGTAGGGTACTTGTCTTGGAGTTTCTGGGGTGGAGAGACCAGGGAGTGAGCCAGAGGAGTAGGGAGCTAATGGTAAAGCTGTGGGAGGCCATTTGAGGACTGAGAGATAATACATCTGGTGTTCTGTGCTCTGATTTTTAAAGTCATGATAATGGCAGGGCTGGGGCCAAGATGGATATCATAAGCCAACCACTCACCTTTGAGAGTGAGGGACGTGGCTGAGAGGTTAGTGGGTTTGTTGAGCAAGAGGCAGAAGGCAGTGTAGCCAAATGGCATGAGCTTCCCGAGTGAGTGTTTTAACATGGCATTTGAGGCAGAAAGCGTCAGAAGTACTGTTGGCTTCAGATTCCAAGGCTCGTGAGTCTTCACTGGAGGACTTTGCTTGAGGGGCTTCAGGGAAGGATGACCTCAGCTGGGTAAAAAAAGCTCCCAAAGGAGGATGAGGACATGGAGAAGTTTTGGTCCTGGGACGAGAGGGTGTGTTGGGATGGCTGCAGGGAGTGTGTGCATGGGGGTGGGAGACCTCTCTTTGAGAGAACAAATGTTGGTGAATGCTGAGGCCCTCTTGGATGGATCAAGATTATTCATTGTGTCTGAGATGCATTTCATCTGTCCTTCCTGCTAGGTCCTCACTGGTTCAGAACTGACTAGAAAGTTCAAAGTTTGTTGGTTCTAAGCAGCCTGTATGTGGAGACTTTACCTTGATGAATGGTTTAGTGCTCTACCACCTACTAAGTATCCTCTGACTTCCTAGTCCAGTCCCAGCAGCCACACCCAACACTTGGAGCTCTACTAACCGCAGATCACTTCTGCTTTTATGATGAAGAGACAGAGATGACAAAGACTTCAGGAAGCTCAAATTTAGGTGGGGTGCCAACACCTGTTTTTAGATTGTGCATATTATAAATTTAACCACTCTCCAAGATTCCTGGTATACCAGTTGTTTTTTTCAGGGTGATATTGGTAGTACAGCTTTGTAGCTAAGGTGTAAGAGGTAATCAAGTGATACCCCAAAATGATCCCATCATCTTTTCAGTTAGCAAGGTGTGCACAAAGCTGCCTCGTGACGTTTGCTCTTGTGAGTGAGATAGGCACTTCTCCTTGTACCTACGTGTGATAGGCCTGTGCAAGGCTTATTATGTGTTGACTATTCTAGTACAGAATGATGGAAAGACCCAGAAACATCTGCACTAGACTTGCTGTGTCTTTAGGACTGAAACAACAAGTAAAAATAATGAGCTTTCAAGAGGAATGTAATATAACACTTACAGCTGGAAGTCATCTTGTTTGTGAAATAACATTTTTTGTCTGGGCTTGTGCTGCTTGACCACAGAGGGGAAGCACAATTGCTTTAGGGTTCTTCTACTTTTTTGTTTGTTCTGTAAACTCATACCTCGGTGTCTTCCCTTCAGAGTTTCCTTGTTTTAAGTTCAGTATAGTTACATGCAGAAATATTTTCAATATTGTTTCTATTGGTTGAAGGGGAAAGAGGTATTGTCACTTTAATTACAGCAAATACTTAGTGCCAACATGCATTATTCTAAGCGATTTGCATGTATTAACTCATTTATTCCTCATAATGGCCCTATGAGGAAGATACTATTATTGTGCCCATTTTCTAGATGAGGACAATGAGACCCAGTGTCTAAGTAGTTACCGAAGTTATACACCCACTCAGAAAGAGAGATATTTAGGATTCAGACCTAGGCAGTTTGGCTCCTGTCATATCCTTAATTTTTTAAAATTTAATTTTTTTTTAATAAGTGAGAGAAAGTTTGGTGAGGTTGGGGGAAGCAGAGGGAGAGGGACAAGCAAACCCCATGCTGAGCGTGGAGCCTGACATAGGGTTTGATCCTGGGATGCTGAGATCATGACCGGAGCCAAAACCAAGAGTCAGACCCTCAACTGACTGAGCCATCCAGCTGCCCCAGTCATATCCTTAATCTAATCACATAGTCAAAACCCCATTTATCACATAAAATAATGTATTTACAGGCAGGGTCCAGGTATCAGAGCATGGATGTCATTGGCGGAGCCATTATTTTTCCAGCCACAATTACAGTCAGAACATTTTTAGTAAATTAGCTTCAGGTGCTTAATTGTCTAGTGCAAATAGTTCTATTGACTTTTCTAGTGCTGAGAGAATATAGTTCCAAAATTTTCACCTATGTGTGGGAGTCCTTGAATATGGCTTTAACGAATCTTTCTGAACTCACTTGCCAATACTGGCTTCTGTTGGAGCTGGGATGGCTTCCCCACCTGCAGTGAGAAGTCAGACCATGCATGTTTGTAGATGGCTAGGCTGTTTTCCGCTTTTGTTTTACTTTCCTGTCTACATTCTGTTTATGACTCAAGACTGCATTCAGATTTCTCACGGCCACTAGAGCTTTCCTGACCTTCCTGCTTGTTTTTTGTTCAGTTTTCCAAATGAACTCTGTCCATTCATTTATTTTGATACCTATTGATGTCAACACCTATTTTGCATTTTGGATGTGTATGTGTCTGTGTATGTCTTTTTTTCCTCAATTTTCAGGGGAAAATAAATACTTCAAAAATAGTTCTTTGTGTATTAATTATAGAGCTCTATTATTTGAAGATTCAGTCTAGATTTTTATGGTACAGAATCTTTAAGGTTCTCTTAAATTAATGACGTCCTGATTTCTTTTTTTTTATTTATTTTTTTATTTTTTTTTATTTTTTATAAACATATAATATATTTTTATCCCCAGGGGTACAGGTCTGTGAATCGCCAGGTTTACACACTTCACAGCACTCACCATAGCACATACCCTCCCCAATGTCCATAATCCCACCCCCCCAACCCCCCTCCCCCCATTAACCCTCAGTTTGTTTTGTGAGATTAAGAGTCACTTATGGTTTGTCTCCCTCCCAATCCTGATTTCTTTTAAACTGATTTTAAGTGATTTAGAACTTTTTTCTAAGATTGCAAAAGTAGCTAATTTTATACTAAAATGTAATCATAAGTACAGATTGAATCATGAGGAGTCAAAATGTGTTCTTTATTTGAAACTAGCTCTTGATTCAGGAGTATGGCACACTTACTACTTTAATTGGTTATTTGGCAAAAATACAGTCTTTATTTGTTGAATTTGGTTAACTTACCTCCTTTTCTCCCCACTCCTTAACCCCAAGCCTGTTCTGTGACTCTTATTCATTTCTCAATGCTGTTGTACAGAATTCCACAAAAGCACCCCTCAAAAGATCGAATGTTGAGAAAGTGACGAATGTGCAGATCCTGGTGTTGTTTGGCATCCTCTTGGTCATGGCCTTGGTGAGCTCGGTGGGGGCCCTGTACTGGAATGGGTCTCAAGGTGGAAAGAACTGGTACATCAAGAAGATGGGTAAGTGTCAGGAGGGAGTGCTTGTTGAAGTAGGATGAAACTACTTTGGAAAACCCTTCCAAGTGTGGTTTATGTGTGGTGTCCATGCCATCCTTCATTCTTTTGGCTACTCTATAAAAGGCCAGCCTTCTTGAAAGATTAGGAGTCATGTGATGAAATGAAGATGGACACAAGTGGGGATTGTTTTATATTCAAATGATTGTAACTCTTTTTTGAGTTATTTTCTTAGTAGTTGCTCTAGGAATTATAATAAATGTCTTAGAGAATCAGCATTTGGTTCAGATTAATACTGACTTAATTCCAGTAAAATATAGAAATTTTACTCCAGTATAGATTCTTGCCCTGCCTTGTGCTATTATCATATATATTACATCTGTGTTATCAACCTAACAATCTAGTGTTAAAATTGTTACTTTATATTATCCAATGTCGATTAAGCAAAAAGAAAATAAATGTACTTATAGAGTTGTTCTACATGAATCTACTTATTCACTATTTCTAGTGCTCTTCATTTCTTCCTGTAGGACTTAGTTACCAGCTTGTGTTATTTCTTTGCTTCTTGTAGCTTTATCTTCTCATTCCTTTGTGCTGACATACACATTACATCTGTGTGTAAGTCCAATGATACCCTTTTATAATCATTTTTGCCGTGCTTCTTTAAGTCCAAAAGAAAGGATAAAAAATATGTAATTGTCTTTTGTAAGTACCTGTGTTATTACCTTTACTGATATCCTTTATGTTTAATTCCTGTTTGGTATCATTTCCTTTCATCCTGGAGAATTTCTGTTAGTATTTCTGAATGTAAGGGAGATTGGATAGCAATAAGTTCTCTGTTTTTATCTTGAAATGTATTAATTTCTCCTTTGTTTCTGAAGCACAGTTTTGAAGATACAGGATTCTTGTAGAATTCTTGGTTGATATTCTTTTCCTTTCAGTACTTTGCCTATGCTATCCTACTCCCCTCTGGCCTCCATTGTACTGATGGGAAGTCAGCTATTAATCTTACCTTTTCTCTTATGTGTGAATCATTTTCTATTGTTGCTTTCAGAATTGTCCTTGGTTTTCAATAACTTTGAGTTTACTTTGTTTGGGAGTCTGTTGAGCTTTGTGGATGTGTACAGTAATATTTTTCATCAAGTTTGGGAAGTTTTCAGCTATCATTTATTCAAATATTGTTTCTGCCACATCTTCACTCCCTTCTCTTTCTGATAATTCCATTATGTGCATGTTGGTCCACATGATGTGACTTTAGGCTCTGTTAATTTTTCCTTGTTCTGCTTTCTTTTTGTTTTTGAGATTGGGTAATCTCTATTGATCTGTATTGAAGTTAGTCTGTTTCTCTCTTCTCCTAGCTCACATCTACTCTTCAGCTCCACTGGCAATTTTTTTCATTTCAGTTATCATACTTTTCAGTTTAAGGATTTCCATTTGGTTCTCTATTTTATCTCAATGTTCTCTGATCAAACAGTTATTGTCATACTTTCTTTTATTTTTTTTAACAGTTTCTTTTAGTTCTTTAAATATACTTTTAACAGCTTCTTTGAAGTTTTAAGTCCATTATTTGAGTCCCCCTCAAAGGCATTTTCTATCGCTTTTTTCCTATTTCTTTGTATGTTTCATATTTTTTTGTTGGTGAAAATGGGCGCTTTAGGTAATATGCTGTGGCGATTCTGGATTCTGTTTCCTCTTTGTCCTGGGGCTTGTTGCTGTTTTTTTTCTTTTTTCTGTTTTTGTTTTTGTTTTTTAAATCTGTTTAGTGACTTGCCTGGAAAAATTCTGTGAAGTCTGTTTTCTCCTGCAGTATACAGCCTCTGCTGTTACTGCTCAGCTTTAGTCCCATGTTTTGAGTTTTTAATGCTTTAAAAATATATAGTTTAATGTATATAGTGGTTTTTGTATATTCACAGATTTGTGGACATTTACCCCTTACCTAACTTTAGAACATTTTTCATCACCACAGAAAGAAAGCCAATCTTATTTAGCAATCACTCTTCTCCTTGTTTTTATTTTTAAGCCTGGATTCCTAGGGGTCAGCATAGCTTAGACATTAGCCAGTGATAGGTCAGAGGTTCTTTGACCTCTGGCTTGTGGAATGCCTTCAGGGGAATTTAAAGTCCACAACATTCAGTCAGGGCCTAGTAGCTCACAAGTACCCTCTCTGGTCCCTCCTGAGCAGATGCAGCCTTGTGCTTGGACATGACCTTCTGGGCCACCAGGATTCAGTGTGATCTTACCAAGGTTTCTTAGGCCATTCCTTTCCATAGGTATCCCTGTTTAATTTCTGACTAGTCTTCTGGTTTTTTTTCCCCTACGAGCATTGTGAGATATTTGTCTTCCTTAATTATTAGCCACTGGGATCTCTATTGTTTTTGACAGTGCCCTCAGCATGGCTTTTTTCATGCTGTGTTCCAAATAATGTCATCTTCCTCAGGCTGTTCCTGTCCTGACAACCTGCCTCACTCTTGAGTACCAGCCTGCCTCACCCTAGGATAGAATTTCTGCAAATGGAGCTGGGGGTGCGGGGGGTGGGGTGCAAGCTGCCAGTCCCAACCACCCACCCAGAACAGAATTTAAGCATCATGGTTCAAGGGGAAAGGAGAGGGAAGTAGCCTTTGACTTAAATGCCAAAGGTTTCCACTCAGATTAAATAGATTTTTTTTTTAATACATGCTTTTGAATTTTTTGTATGTGCTGTGAACAATTTCTAAGCACTTTAAATGCTTGCTTTTGATAATTCTGTTCAATTTTATTGCTCCCTTTTTTGGAGAGATCTGTCAATCTCCTTACACACCAATTCCAGAAAATAAAATTTAATGACAAAACACTCCCAAAAATTTCAATTTTAAAACTTTGGAATCTTTGCTTGAAGTTTGCTTGAAGTTTTTGTTATTCTTTTCTTTAAATATATTTTGATTGAACTGATCAAAACATTTTTTTCCTTTTCTAATTATCTTGTGCAGAGAAAAATCAAACACTTTTAAATGCCAAGGAGAACTATTATTGCCACTTTACAAATATGACTGGGACTCAAGTTGTAGGTTGGATCAAAACTCTTGGTTTTGGTTCTTAAAATTTGGATTTGGACCATGTTATGTGTCTAGCTTCCAATATAAAGACTGATACTTTGTGTACATATATATTTTCAAAATGTCATGATCTGAGTAAATAAACAGCATTGACACAATCTTGGTGTACAGACTTTGTGGAAGCTGGCATTTAAATCGCCTAATGTCAAACTCCAATACTAGCTGCATGATTTATGGTGGAAGAACAGTCTTTGTGTCCCACCCATAATGCTGTCTGCTTTGTTTTCTTATGGAAAAGTTGGAGTAGCTCTGTTAAAGCCATCAGACTTCACATTTGCATCGTCACTGTTGGAGCTTTGACTTACTTCAGTTTCTATCAGATTCTGTCCTTGGTCATCTCCACTTGATTGTTTTTGTTTGTCTGAATGAACTTCTATACACAGGTTCTTCCCTGAATGTGCTCTGCTTGTAGATAATAGATATGATCATTCAAAGCTGTTTTTGGCCTGGATTCAAACCTGACATCTTAAATTTCTTAATACATAATTCTAATTGACAGATATTTATTCTTAAGCAGATTATACCTCAGGAACATTTGTTAACTATTGGTACTTGGAGATGCTATTTAATAACTACTTCATTCAAAAGAAGGTTGCAACATGTCAGAAAGAAATGAAGCAATTGGCAGGAAAAACAGAAGCCTTGGTAGGTGAGAAGAAAATGAAGGGATGGTAGGAAGGTGAAACTACTGACCAGCTCGTGCCTACTCCCTTTATCCTTTACCAGCCTCTTATCCTGCCATCACAGCTCTCCACTAGAACTCACAGGCTGAGTCAAACCACAACCATTTGACTAATTTCCTGGGGGAAAAACTCAACTGTGGTTTGAAGTCCTTACAAGTTACTAATCTCCAATCCCAGCCTTTTGTTGTCTTGAAATACCAGTTCCCCTCAAGAGGCATCTTTAATACCAGTCAAACCCTTAGCCTGCTGCAACAACCCTCCCTCACCTCTTGCCAAGTTAAGCTCTTACTACTCTTTCCTTCAACCAGGGTGTCATGGTCATCAGAAGAAGAACTTTTGTCTTTTGATACAGACCTTGTACCTCTTTTCTCTCTCTTGGTTCCTCTTCCTGTCTAAGCTGACCCTACTTCTGCTTTGGAGTCTGTCCCCTAGGGGTCTTGATCCATCATTAGGGGTCCCCTTCTGTTAAGATTTTCTTCTGTTATCTTCAATAAATAGCTCCAGCCTTCCTGCTTCCCTCTCTTTGCCTGCTACCATTGACACTTTCTGCATCTTACAAACTCTTTGGCATATCCCTTACAGACGTTTGACATGCCTATCTTCTTTTCTGCGTCCTTTTTAGTTAGCTGTTTGCTCTCTTTCTGGCAAAACTTGAGTAAAGCCTCTCTTCTTCTGATGGCCTTTGGTGACCATGCCTTCCCATTAAAATAAACCTTTCTTCCTGGTTTCAGCAATGTCCTATGAACTCCTTCTCAGTAGATGTATGCTGCTGCATGCTCAGGAAGGGACATGCTCGCTCCTGCTCACCTCTGGCGAACACCTTTTAGAAAAAGTCCACAATAATAGAGTAAAAGGAAACTGACTGAGAGAAACTAAAGTGATAAAGGTACTCTGGTTTTTGTCCACAGACACAACCTCGGATAATTTTGGATATAACTTGTTGACATTCATCATCTTATACAACAATCTTATTCCCATCAGTCTGTTGGTGACCCTCGAGGTTGTGAAATACACTCAAGCCCTTTTTATAAACTGGGTGAGTATCACAGCTGAGCCCAAAACTGTGCTGCTGGAGCAATGTCAGCCACTATTTTCTCTCAGAGCATCAGTCCTTCACCTGAGCCTCCAGGAAAGGACAAAAATAGTTCATTTAGGATTGGGTCTGGGACTTAAACTGGCCAGAGAACTGGCAAGGCTGTCCCTGAGCTGGTGATGGCAAAGAATGGTTACCTGACACCTCAGCTTCCTGTCTATGAAACAGGAGGACATTGGTGCCTATTTATTCAAGGGGTTCTTGTGAGGATTAGGTGAGATCATTGAGGCAGAGTGCTTAGCAGGTGTATGGCTTCTGGTGAGTGGGCACGAAATGGCTGCAAATGCCACTCCTGCTTTTACAGTCTCATTAGTGCTGCATGAAAGATCTCACAGGTGTGTCTAGTTCAGTGTGCATATATGTCAAAGGTCATGGGGGCCCTAAACTTGGATTCTGTTGCAAGAGTGGAGGTGGAATTTTAAAGGAATTGCTATGCCATGAAGCACTGGACTTCAGCAGCCAGTATTTGTAGACAGGGTACTTTCATGTGCATTTTTATTTGATCTTTGCAACAATCCCATGAAGGAGGTATTGGCTGAGCTCAGAAGTCTGGGTTAGTCTAGGTCATGCAATGCTCATCTCGAAACTAAGTCTTTTGTCTATAAATCGCATGTTTTCTTCTTCTAGCACAGTGTTTCTCTATAATAATAGCTACTGTACTTTTACCCTCAAATTAATGTTGAGCGCTAATATTATCTGTTGTAGCTTCTTTTCTGCACTAGTCTAAATGAAGGAATAATGGTATATATTTTCTGAAGCATCCTCCACCCCTTCTCTCTCTCAGGACACAGACATGTATTATTTAGGAAATGACACTCCTGCGATGGCCAGAACCTCAAACCTTAATGAAGAGCTTGGGCAGGTGAGACCCTCTTTGGAAACTTTGGTAGTGGTGACTCTAGTATCAGGGGAGACAAGTGCTAGAACCACAAGAGATTTTGGAAAAATAGTTCTTTGTGAATGTGGTTATGATGTCTGAAGTGCTATACATATAGCATTTAAAAGTATTGTGAAATAGAAACGTTCGTTGGCTTTGACCTGCTTTCTGAGACATCAGTGTATTTTATTATCTCGAAGGTACCTGCAAAAAAAAATTACAAAAAATAAAGTGTAACATTACTTTGGACATTAGAATTTTTCATCAGAATAAATGATGGGGAAACCAGTGGTTCGGATATGAAGGTATTGGGTATTCTTACAAAACATGACAGAGCTGATTTGAAGGGCATAAATCTATTAAATTTCTCACATGTTTAAGATTTGGTTTCTGGAACATTCCAGGGAATGAGTTTCTTTTTTTGCCATCATCCTTGAAACTCCTGTTACATTTAATGAGTTGTGTTTTGCATTATATTTTCATCTTATATTGAAATTACAGTAAGGAATACCTTCTTTGAATGCACTGCTATTAAAGATTATAATTTCATTTTATACAACTTATTTAAACCTCCCAACAGCCCTAGGGGGTGGGTGCTATATATGTCAGACTAAATTTGCCTCCTCTTTGAACCCTTTTACAGTTTTTTAGGTAAAGTTAATTTATCTTTCTTCTATGTCTCCATAATAGTCTCTCCAATTATGAATACAGTAAAGTGAGAGACATAATAGTGATGTGGTGTCTGTTTCCATCTTGAGCCTTTTGAGCCCATTTGAGGGTGTGGATGTGCCTGGGGTGAGGTCTTTTGTTGTCTTGGTCAGTCTAGCATAGTGCTCAGTATCCCATTGTTCTCAGGACCCATTAAACTGGATCCCAGTATTCAAAGGTTTAAAAGTGCTCAAGTTGTACCCAGGATAATAATTAATCTTAGTTGGGAATATGGGAACGGTTTGCTTGCTCAAACGTTTTGAGTTGCAACTTAAGGATAAGTTAAAATTCAATAGGAGAGTGAGAGCAAATCTGGATAATTCCTTATTAGAAGATTTTCATTTTTTAAAACATTTTCATATAATCTTTTTTATTTTTTATAAAAGGGGCAGAAGGAAACACATTATTGGAAGGCTGATTCTACTGAATTTTTTATACCCCTAGACTTACTGCAAAAGATTTTATAAAAATCTTTTATAAAAACTTATTTATAGTTGGAGCATTAATACCCATATCTTACTATTTTTTAAAATTTCTATATAATATTTGACTTCTTTAGGAATGTTGATAATTTTCTTCTACTTGACGGCCCTTTGATTTCTTTCAAGATAATTCATAGTGTATTTGCCTACTTTGTATCATTAAGAAAAAGTACAGAATAAATAATTCACAGTATTAATCCCTCTTCCACAAAATAGTAAAGCATGGCTTCCCCTTGCAGTCCCCGGAGTAATGTCCAGCATCCAGCAGCAATCATGGCCGGAGAAACTAGAATTTTTACTGGAGACAGTTCTTTGGTTACTCTCCCTTCACCAATCTATGATATGATTTTCCAGGATGTTCCACATAAAATTGATGTTCCATATCTTCTGGCCAAACTCTTTTTTTCATAGATGTGGACATTGGGGCCATGAAGGATGAGGCAACTTTTCTAGACTCCATATGTCTAGTTAGTATCCAGAGCCCGAACTGGGCTACTGTCCTCTTGTGATCTTGAACTCCTTTCCTTCTTGCCCATCACATGATCCACTGGAGAGAATGCAGTTCACACAGCATATATGCATTTGGAGTTCATCTCTTTTTCATTCAGTTAATTATGTCAAAATGGTTGGCTTGTTGACCTCTAGGAATTTTCTCTTTTCACCTTTGTATGTTGAGAGCTTGGTGTATTAAATCTGTAAAACTTTGTATCTCAAAACGTTATGTATAATCTATAGCACTCCTATGCCGCCTTCACTTAATCTTCATTGTTACTGTGATGGAGGAGCCTTCCTAATCCAACTAGGAATGGAGTGGTAAAAAAACATTTGAGGGTGGCCAAAGTTTGAGCTTGTTGTCTTGATACATTGAACGCTAGACTGGAGTGCTGTATGAGATCGTGGGAATAGCTTAGAGAGTGATCTGTGTCTTTGAGGTGTCTTGTGGCAGAACACAGTGCTTACGTGTATACATCGACATGGCTCCCCGGCTGTTACTCTAGCCTCCTTTGCACATTTCCGCACAATTTGATTCTAGGCTTGGTTAGTGGAAAAGGTTTTCAAGTGGCCAAAGCATTAAAATATATTACTTTTTATAATAATTTATAATTGTAACCTATATAATTATAAAATATATTTTACTGTAAGGAAATTTGCCTTTTAAAATTAATAGAGATTTTGAATATATTTCTATCTATATTTATAGAAGGAAAGACATTCTCTATTTCTGCATCTAACTACAGTGTTGATGTATGTTTCTTCCATCCTTTGATTTAGGTGAAATACCTATTTTCTGATAAAACTGGAACTCTCACATGCAATATCATGAACTTCAAGAAGTGTAGCATTGCTGGAGTAACCTATGGGTAAGTGTGTTTCTCACTTACTAAACATTTGATTCATATTCTTACAACAAAGAAGTTTAGTTTTAGCTGCTTAGCCAAATGCCTTCTTGACATGTTTGAAGGATATTTATAAGGGATTTAGATATGTAATTGCTACTGAATGTATTTAAAATTTAATGGGTCCCAACTTTGAACAGTTAACCAGTTTATTCTGCAAATATTTACCTAGTGAGAAATCCCTGGATTTAATGCTATACATTCAATTTTAAAACTTTAATTCTATAAATGTAAATTCTAGAATTTATAGTTATAATCTAATAATTATAAATATCTTACTCATATTTTTACTTGAATGCCTGTCTTTTTTTTTTTTATCAATCTTTAGTTGATATGTAACATTATTAGTTTCAGATGTACAACATAATGATTCAGTGTTGGTATATACTGCAAAATGTTCACCACTAGAGGTCTACTTACGACTGTCATCACATATGGTTAAGCAATTTATTTTTTCTTGTGATGCAAATTTTAAGGTCTATTCTTTTAGCAACTTTCAAATATGCAGTATAATATTTATTATAAACCATTATAATATATTATAAACAATTCCCATGACTTACTTATTTTAAGGGAACTTTGTACCTTTTGCCCCTTTCACCCATTTAGTCCCTCCCTACCCCCTGCCTCTGGCAACCACTAACTTTGTATCTATGCTCTGTATCTATGAGCTGCTGTGGCCTTTTTTTTTTTTTTTTTTGAGTGCACATTTAAGTAAGATTATATGGTGTTTGTCTTTCTGTGTCTGACCTATTTCAGTTAGCATAATACCCACAAGGTCTATCCATGTTGTCACAAATGGCAAGATTTCCTTTTTATGGCTGGATGATATTCTATTGTGTATATGTACCACATTTTCTTTATCCATTCATCTACTGAAAGACTGAGGTTTTTTCTATATCTTGACTATTGTCAGTAATGCTGCAGTGAACATGGGGTGCATATATCATTTTGAGTTAATATTTTCATTTTCTTTGGATAAATACCCAGAATTGGAATAGCTGGGTCATATGGTAGTTCTATTTTTAATTTTTTGAGGACCTCCATACAGTTTTCCATAGCAGCTGTACAAATTTACATTCCCACCAACAGCATACAAGAGTTCTACATCCTTGACAACATTTGTTATTTCTTCTAACCATTTTAACAGGTAGGAGGTGATATTTCGTTAGGGTTTTGATTTTCATTTCCCTGATGATTAGTGATGTTGGACACATCTCTATGTACCTGTTTGTCATCTATATGTCTTCTTTGGGAAAATGTTTACTCAGATCTGCCCACTTTTAATCAGATTGGCTTTTTTCCCCCCTATTTATATGTATCTATATATAGGATATTAAATTAACCCCTTACCAGGTATAAGATCCATAATTATTTTCTCCCATAGGTAAGTGGCCTTTTCATTTTGTTGATTTCCTTTGCTATACAGAAACTTTTTAGTTTGACGTAGTCCCACACTTGTTTATTTTTGCTTTTGCTGCCTTTGCTTTTGGTGTCAGATCAAAAAAATCATTATCAAGACCAGTGTCAAGGAACTTACTACGTATATTTTCTTCTAGGGTTTTTATGGTTTCAGGTCTAACATTCAAGTCTTTAGTCCATTTTGAGTTAATTTTTTTATATAGTATAAGATAGTGGTGCAGTTTGATTATTTTGCATGTAGCTGGCAAGTTTTCTCATTTATTGAAGAGATTGTCTCTTCCCCATTAAATATTCTTGGCACTTTAATCAGAAATTACCTGACCTTTAGTGTGTGGATTTTATTTTTTATGCCAATATGGTACTACTTTGATTAGTATAGTCTGAAATCAGACTGTGTGATGCCCCTCGCTTTGTTTTTGTTTCTCAAGATTCCTTTGGCAATCTGGGTCTTTGTAGTTCCATATAAATTAGAATTGTTTGTTCTATTTCTGTGAAAAATGCTGTTGGAATTTTGGCAGGGATTGGATTGACTGTAGATTGCTTTGGGTAGTATAGACATTTTGACAATACAAATTCTAGTCTACAAGCATGAGTATCTTTCCATTTATTTTATCTTCAGTTTCTTTCATGTCTCACAGTTTTCAGTATACAGTTTTTTCATCTCCTTGCTTAAATTGATTCCAAGGTATTTTTTTGGATGCAACTATAAATGGGATTTTTAAAATTTCTTTTATGATAGTTCATTATTAATGTATAGAAATACAACAGAACTTTCTGCATTGATTTTTATCCTACAGCTGTACTAAATTCATTTATTCTAAGAGTTATTTGTTTATTCTTTAGGGTTTTCTATATATAGTTTCATGTTATCTCTAAATAGTGACAGTTTTACTTATATCTGGTTTGGGAGGCTTTCATTTTTCTTGCCTGGTTGCTGTGGCTAGGACATCCAGTGCTGTGTTGAAAAAAAGTGGCAAAAGTGGGTACCTTTTTCTTCCCGATCTTAGAGGAAAAGCTTTTAGCTTTTCACTAATGACTATGTTGTTAGCTGTGGGCTTGTCATATATGGTCTTTATTACGTTGATATATATTCCCTCTATACCCACTTTGTTGAGAGTTTTTATCATAAATGGATGTTGAATTTTTGTCTAATGCTCTTTTTGCAGCTAGTGTAATGGTCATGTGATTTTTATCTTCCATTGTGTTAATGTGGTGTGTCATATTGATTGAGTGCAGATGTTGGACCATCCCTTATCCCTCGAATAAATCTCAGTGGAGCATGGTGTATGATTTTTTAAATGTATTGCTGAATTCACTTTGCTATTACTTTGCTGAGGATTTTTGCATTTGTGTTCATCAGGGGTATTGGCCTCTAAATTTCTTTTCTTTTGGTGCCCTTGTCTGATTTTTGTATCAGGGTAATGCTGACCTTGTAATACGAGTTTGGGTTTCTCTCCTGTTGTTGGGAAGACTTTGATAAGGATTGGTATTTTCATTGAATGTTTGGGAGAATTCACCAATGAAGCTGTCTGAACCTGACTTTTGATTGTTGGGAGGTTATTGATTACCGACTTAATCTCCTTATTAGTAATCAGTCTAAGATTTTCTGTTTTATCATGATTCGGTCTTCATCTGTTGTATGTTTCTAGGAATTTATCCATTTCTTTTTTTTTTTTTAAGATTTTTATTTATTTATTTGACAGCGAGAGAGATCACAAGTAGGCAAGGAGGCAGGCAGAGAGAGAGGAGGAAGCAGAGCTGAGCAGAGAGCCCAATGTGGGGCTTGATCCCAGGACTGTGAGCCAAAGACAGAGGCTTAAGTCATTGAGCTACCCAGGCACCCCGGAATTTATCCATTTCTTATAGGTTGTCCAATTTGTTGGTATATAATTATTCATAGTAGTGTCTTATGATCTGTTATATTTCTGTG